ATATATTAACCATAAAATTAAGGTAAAAATTATATTTTACTTGTATTTGCTTCAGTTGCTTCTACTCATTTTTTCTATTAATTATTTAAAATAATCATAGAAAATATTTTAAAAGAAAGTCCGAATCAGAGTTATTACTAATAGCAAAAAGAGGTGTTAATGAATTTTTAGGTGTTATATATGATTTAAAAAATTTATATGTATCATTTATTTTAATTAATAAAAATAAAAAAGTTAAAACTTGTAATTAATACCAACCCTCGTATAAATTTCTAACTCCGCCATGCGTTTTGTACAAAATTCAAATTGGAGACATTGAGGTATTAACCATTGAAACTTTATTACTCGAATTAAACAGATGATTTCACAACATGTAGTTTTGGCTTACAGCCTTCCTCTCTTGGCTATATCATGGTCATAAGCCACTGTATTACAGCTAACATCAGCCATACTTGATCTAATATCCTTAATGGCCACATCATTTACAATAGAGATGACGTCATAATATTAATTTTTGATGACATATTATTGTCCAAACTATCTTAATTCTTTGTAATTGTTAATGTATATATGTTTGTCCCACAACAGTTAGATTATGAAATTTCACTATTTTCTTTTACTATAAATAAACCATCATGTATATAATAAATTACACCAAATCAACATACAATTACTATTCACTTTCTGCTCTCTTATTTCATATGGTATAAGAGCCTAGAATATTAAATCTTTTTGACCAAGGATAGTATATTTTGTGGTTGCCCTTCAAGGGATCCTCCACATTAGAACTCTTGAGGCTCTTCTTTTAGTCATCCTCTAACGACCTTCCGATCTGCATCGGCCATCCTCCAGCGATATTCCAATTGTCTCTCAGCCATCCTCTGGTGACGTTCCGATCACCTTCCTCGTTGTCCTCTAGCGACCTCCTAGTCATAATTCGGTCTCATTCCGACCATCCTTCGACGTCCTCTAATGACCTTCCAATCGTTTACTACTTGTCCAGAATCCACTATAGCACTATCTGATATGCCCTAGTCTCATCACTCATATTGTCACAAGACTAGTCATGCTCTATTCATCTGTCTTGCTCGAATTTGCAAGTTCTGTAACAGAAAGAGCTCAAGCCACTATCTGAGTAGCTGTCTACAAAATCTGTGGAATGACAGACCTAACATCAACCAATAGTACAGATCTGGCAATTAGTCCTCCAAAGTTTCCTTCATCGACCTTCGGTGCTAGTGATCTTGAGGTTATCCTCAAACAAGTTCTTTCTGTATCAATTAATCCATCTTCTACTGCTTTATCTACCACTTCAAGTAAATCATCGTAGTTCCTTGACTCTGCATATTGTAACCACATGACCCCTGATGAATCATTGTTTTCTTCCACACAATTTGTTGGTTCTATCTCACCAATTAACACTGAAAATGGCTCACATATGCATGTCTATCATGTTGAACATGTCTCTACATCCCATATGTCATTTCCCCATACTTATCACATACCTAATCTTACTCTCAATCTCATATCTGTGGGTCAACTTTGTGACCTTGGACTCATTATTTTGTTCTCTTCTACTGGTTGTATTGTCTAAGATCCATGGATAGGACAAGCCCTTGGGATAGGTTGGAAGCATGGACGTTTGTTTGAGTTTATCCATTTTTGTATCCTAAAATGACTATTTTTCTCAGTCCTCTCTATTGTTGCTACTTCCACTTCGACCAACTCTCATTTCAATCATTGGTATTCTCGTCTATGTCATGTTTCTTGAAGTCATCTATAATATTTAATTTCCAATGGTCAATTAGGGCATATTTATAGTGAACAACTTGATTGTTTGGCTTGTAAACTTGCAAAACAACCAGTTTTACTTTTCAATAATATAACTCTTTGTATTTTGCCCCTTTTAATTTGGAACATTTTGATATTTAGGGACCTTCTCCAACTGTTACTATGGGAGGATCAAAATATTTTGTTATTTTTATTGATAACTATTCTCGCTTTACTTGGATTTATCTTTTGCAAACTCGATCTTAATTGCTACAAATTTATTATAATTTTATGAAAATAGTCCAAACTCAATTCTCGCGATCCATTAAAGTTTTTAGACCTGATAATGTCATGGAATATAGAGACACCACATTCCTTAACTTTCTCAGTCAACATGACATCATTCGTCATCGTTTTTGTTATGGCACATCTCAACAAAATGGACATGTTGAGCGCAAACATCGTCATATTCTTGGTATTGTTTATGCTCTTCTCATCTCTTCTTCATGTCCTGAGCATTTTTAGGGTGAAACTACTTTTACAGCTAGATATACCATCAATCACATTTCCTCTCCTATTATTGGGAATCAATCTCTAAATGAGAGAGTGTATGACACATTCCTTGATTACCACTCTCTTCAAGTCTTTGGTTATGCATGTTTTGTTTTACTCCAATCTTATGAGTGTACCAAGTTGGAACTTCGGCATGTCTTTGTTGTTTCTTGGGTTATGGGATTGAACATAAGGGTTATCATTGTTGGGACCCATATTCGAAGCGTCTTCGTATTTCTCGATATGTCATATTCTGGGAACATAAGATGTTCTCCCCCTTCTCTCAATTTCAGTTTTGGACTGCCCTTACTTCTCCTTTCTTTACTGATCCATTTGTGGATCTATATCTTGATGACCCACATCCAGACTCATCTAAGCTCCCATTAATAGACCATCCAAAGGCTTCTGTCTTGCCTATCGATCCTACTCCTACATCACTTCATACTAATAGTAATCTTACCTCAACTACTGAACCCTCTAAATCACTTCTTGTTGATACTCATTCTCCTACTCATCAACAACGTCATTCCACTTAGATAAGGAACGTTCCTGTTCATTTTCATGACTGTCATTGTTTTTCTACTATTCTCTTTTAGCATGAGCCTCATTTTATCGTGAAGCTAGGTTTGACCCTGATTGGTAGCACGCAATGACAGAAGAGTTACAAACACTAGCTGACATACATATTTAGGATTTGGTTGAACTTCCTCCTAGCAAAATAGCCATGGATTGTAAATGGGTTTATAAGATCAAGATACACTCTAATGGTTTTATTGAGCAATACAAAGTTCGTCTAGTGGCTAAGGACTTTACATAGGAATATGGTATTGACTATGAGGAGATATTTGCTCCCGATGCTCTTCTCAGCTATTGCTGCCACTCGCTAGTGAAAATTATATTAGATGGATGTCAAAAATGTATTTCGCAATGGTGAACTTATTGAGGAAGTTTAGATGCAGCCTCCTCCTTGGTATCATCATTCACCACATCAGATTTATCAATGCACTCTATGGCCTCAAGCAAGCACCTAGAGGTTAGGTTTGTGAAATTTAGTGCTACCATTGGAGATTTTGGTTTCTCTTCCATCTCCTATGACTCAACCCTCTTTGTTCGTAAATCTGAGCATGACACTACTCTACTTCTATTATATGTGGATGATATGATTATCATTGAGAATAAAGTTTTTGATATTTTTGATCTCAAACATTTTCTCAACACACACTTTGAGATGAAGGACCTTGGTTCTCTCAGTTGCTTCTTGGGCCTTGAGATCTCATTTGTCCCTATTGGGTATTATCTCTCTCAGGCTAAGTATGCATCTGATCTTCTTATTTGCGTTGGACTCACTGATTGCAAGGTTGTACCTACTCCATTAGAGCAAAATGCTTGACTTAGTCGCTTGGATGACACACCTCTCCCTAATGCCACTCTTTATTATTAGTTGGTAGGCAATTTTGTGTATCTCATTATTACTTGCCTGGATATAACCTATGTTGTTTATCTTGTCAGCCAATTTTTGACTACCTGTCATTCTACTCATTATGCTGTTATTCTTCATATTCTACAATATATTAAGGGTGTTATGTTTAATGGTCTTCATTACTCTACTCACTCATCTCTCATCTCTTGAGCTACGTGCCTATTTGAAGTTGACTGTGCAGGAGATTCTATTGATTGTCGTTCTATCACTGGTTACTATTTCTTTCTGGGCGACTCTTTCATCTCTTGGTACAACAAGAAACAATCTTTTATCTCTCGATCCAGTACAGAGGCAGAGTATTGCGCTCTTGCTGACACTACCCATGAGCTTCTTTGGCTTTGTTGGCTCTTAGAAGATTTAGGTTCTCTCATTCTGACGTTACTGTTTTTTGTTGTGACAGATTGCTTACACTAATATTTTTCATGATCACACCAAGAATATTGAGATTTACTGTCATTTTGTGAGACGTGTGGTTTGAAGCCTAATTCATCTTGTCTTTGTTTCTTCATCTAACCACACTACTGATTTCTTGATTTGGTTTCTAACCTCAAGTTGATTTCTAATTTACCTAGGGAGAATAATAATGTATATATGTTTGTCTCATGTCGATTAGATTAGATAACTTCGTTACTCTCTTATACTATAAATAAACCTACTCATGTATATAATAAATCACACTAAAACAATATACAATCGCTAATCACTTCCTATTCTCTTTTTTAACACTATTCTTGGTTTGGGAGTAAAATTTTTGGAATGTGAAAGTTTGAAATTTTGAATAGCCAGATGAACGTCTTCAAAGTGGTTAATAGATCTGTAATTTAAGATCCTACGCAATAGCATAACCATAAAAATAATAAGAGTCCACATGATATACAGCACATTAAGAACCCCAGTGAGGTTATTTCATTATAAAAGTTAGAATCACGAAAATAGTTTATTAGCACAAGGGGATTAAGTTATTTACACTTGACTCTCCCCAGTTTCTAGAATTGCAAGAACCCTCCTATGTTATATTGTCCTTATTTTGAGTCAAGAAAGACATTTTTTCCACTCATATATTCAGTGATCACATTTAAACATATCACTGAAATTTATCACACTAACTAATAGAGCTAATATAAATCTTGGGTCATTAATCAACAGCGATTTCACGATGTTCTCGAGAAGAAAGAGCTACTGAAGAGAGAGGATTTGGGTCATTAATGACATTTGAACACTAATTTTCAACAAGTGTGAACACAATGAATTGAGCAAGTAGTATCCAAGATACAAGCCTGCAGAATCAAACAGCAAAACACAAGAAAGGGGGCCTAAAACCCACTTTTCATATGAAAAACCCTCACTTCTATAAATAACAAGGCAACAAGGTGCAGTAGAATCCCGCCATTGTGGAGTTTGAAATGGTCAAATTTTTCACGCAATCTCTACCCACACGCGGGAAGATTGTTTCCATAACTAAAATTTTTGATGCACAAGTCGTAGTAAAACAACTTACTAATATGTCAAGACCCAACTTTTAAGCTTACCAGAGAAAATAAATATGTTACCGTCCATATACCTTCTTTATTCCAATACCAAGTTCGATGGACATCGACTTCGAAAGTAGGGATTCTGAAAACGACTTTCTTTTGGATGGCCCGGATCAACCAATGCCACCCCAAATCCAAAAATACCAAAGTCAGTAATAGTCAAGAGTCCACACAAGTTAACAAACAACTAACAGCAAATTGGGCAGTGAATCAATCCATTCTCATTGCACTCACCACACTTCACTGTCTTCTTCCCACCATTGTCCAGCACCTTACAACTCCCATTGCAGTCCATACACATCACAAACCTGACCCCGGCGCAGCCCTCACACACGGCGACCGCCCTGGGGATCCCATCAAACAAAATCCCCAATTTGCTCTCCTCCTCCAACTTCACCATTTCATCAGCTCCCCCAATCAACCTCCCCTTCACAAACACAAGTGGAACTCTCACCTCCTTTGTACCCATTAGGCCTCTCAGTTCTTCCTTAAACCCGGAATCCATTGACACATCACGCTCAAACATCTGAACATGGTGTGATTGGATGATGGATCGGGCTGTGTTGCAATCCTCAAAAGTTTTTCTGATTCCCCTCAATGTGGTTGTGTATATGACTACTGAATTTTCACCACCTTGAGGGCATTTTTTATCAAACAGCTCTAGAATGGACTCTGAATCCTGGGAATTCCTTGATTTTCGACTAGTGGGTGTTGCTGAAACCATTTTCTTAATCTGTTCTTCATCTTCAGACATTTCTTTCTCAAAAGATGCAACAAGTTCTGGATCAAACAGTGGGCTTAAACTCCTCCTCCGTGACGAAACCACCCCTGGATCGATCCTCAAATTAGCAAATTTCATGTCAACTGGACTTTCTCTCGTTGAATTCCTCAAATTGGGTGAAATCTTCAAGGAATTTTGTGGAAAATTACTCGCTTTCAAGACCGTTTTCGCGCTATAATCGAACTGTTCCACTGTAGCATTGAACCCATTGACCCGTCCCTTGTTCTCTTTCCCTCCAAATTTCTTGAACTTTATTGGAGAACCCATCTGATTCAGAAACTTCAATGGACTTCTAGAATCCATGTCTGCAAACCCACGAAGCAAACCTCGAGTTTTCGGGCTTTTCTTGGCTTGAATCGAAATGGGTGCTCCTTCTTCAAGATCTTCCATGAGCTCCCAAGCATTGATGATCTCTGGTTCTTCACGAGGCGGTGATTTCTTCGATTCAACGACACTCTCTTTGAAGGGTGATTGACGATGATGATGTTGCTGTTCTTTGTCGAGATTGAGAGCACCATAAGTGCTTGAAGTGAGAGAGACCACATGGTTGGTGTAGTCTCCATTGCCAAACAAAATCTCCTGTTTGAGATCTTTCTTGAAGAGTTTGGATGATACACACCCCATTGATGTTTGAGATTTTCACTCTACTTGTATCTGGGATTTTGTAGGTTTCTCAATATTCGAAGGAAAGTGAAAGAGAGAGAGAGAGAGGAACTTTCCTTTTTTAAAATTCCTTAACCGTTACCCTGTCTGCAACGGGTCCCAACGGTCCGAAAATTCGAATATGACTCATTCGTGGGAATTTTGTAAGAACCCCTAAAGTTTTTATGGTTAATTGTTTTGTACCCCTAGAGTTTCGGTTAGAAATATCTTATCTACTTGATATTTAAAATTATTTACATTATCCCCTTATAATTATATACAAAGTGAAGTAATTGACATCGTTAATGAAATTAAAAAACTATCATAATATCAACGTTTCAAAATTAGACTTTTTGTATGATTTACATTTGATCATAAAATTAATGGAACACGACAGCAAATCAACATGTTTTAATTAGACATGCCGAGACGCTTTTTCCCTCAAATGAGGTTTTGATCCGAGGGTCAAAAATCACTTATTTTTTTCTTACATGTTTTTTTATGTGAAATCAATTCTCTGCTTATTTAGGTATTATACCAGAGTATTTTAGGCACTTAGACAATGTTCTTTTAGAGAGAAACAATGAAAACAAAACCCGCAAACATGTTTTGGACATGTGAAATACACCTTTCTGTTAATTTGATGATAAAATTGATAATTTTATTTTGGTACATAACTATAATGGGGTAATGTATATAATATTAAACGTCAAGTATATAAAATGTTTTTAGCCAAAATTACATGGAGGTAAAAAATAATAACCCCAAGTTTTTATGTATTCCAATTAGTCCCTCTCATTTTTTTAATTATTTCGCAAGTGTTGTAGGACATTTATTATTTTTTTCTTTTTTTATTTTCTATAGGAAATTTATTACATCACCCTTGCTTGGCTATTATTGCACTTATAATTTTTGCTCATCAATCATAAAACTTGCCGTTGTTTTGATGAAATTTCCTTTATTGTCGAAAAAAACAAAAGAATTCAACATACCCATTATGTTTATTCTTTTTCGAGAACAACCACAATAATAAGAGTGAATCTTGACACAAAAGTCCACTTGCTATAAAAAAAATTTTTGAAAAAAAGAAGTAAAAAAGAAAATCTTGAGTATTGTTATTTTAAGTTCAAGTTTCCCATGCTATTTTTTTTATCAATAATAATGGTAAGCAAGTTTTAACTTTAACGCGAAATATCCTTTATTACCAAAAAAACCCAAATCGAAAATAAATGATTTGTCATCCTCATTTCCTAGTCCAACTTGTAAACCCCAGCACCCCAGGGGCCAAAAAAAAAACAAAAAAAAATTATTATTTGTCAATGATATGTCTTTTTTGATCATCACCTAGAAAATAAACAAGTAATGAAACATAGAAAAATCTATTCTATGTATAAAAGCCAAGTGAATAGATATGAGAATCATCTATCATTGTCTTGATTGTCGATTGTCGCCGCCGTGTGTATTGTTTGAAATTGGGTTGAGTAGTAAAGTTTGGAACCGTCTCTCTTTTTTCGAACACTTATTAAAAGTGACAAAAGTCATTAAAATGCTCTTTTTTTGTCCATAAACTTTTTTTTTTTTTTGTCATAATTCTCTTCCGAAGTTGTTCTTAGAACTCATGGATCCTTGTAGGCTATGTTTGAACTAAATGAGAGAGAGACTTTCTCGCTGAGAGAACGAACTGACTACTAAGGGAGAAGGAACATCACCTAGCTAACAGAGATGACGAAGAACTAACTTTAGTGAGTGAAGCAATGCATCAAACATCAACCCTGAAACTATACCTTACTAAATAATTTGACTAAACCAAGTGAGATATAGACAACTTATATCACAACTTGTGTTACGGAGACACGAATGTACGAAAAAAATCTATTCCCAAAAAGTTCAGATTTTATACTGCATAACACGCTAAGTAGTATAGCACTATTGAAATCCAAACTAGTTAATGAAATCTGTAACTTTACATTACCCCCATATGTTTGTTAATTGTATCGTGTTCGATTTATATTGAATCTATCTTAATTAATCATCTTGATTCTCCCAATATCCCGGCAACAAAGATTTCCTTTCTTATGTCATTTTATTTGGGTTTTATGATACTGATACTTAATTTTTTTTAAAAAAAAATTCTATACATTTATGTTTGATTTTTAAATAAACTAGGAGTAATTCGTGCCTGAAAATATGATGTAATGTGAATAATTTTGAGAGAGATATTAGTGATCGTTGGATGAGTTTATTTAAAACCGTTGAATAGATTTATTGAAATCTGTTTTATTTTATATTATAGATATAGATTGGTTGACCTTGTCATAGTAGATCATTCATTGATTATACACTAAAATAGTAATATATTCATCTACATCCAAGAGAATAATATTAATGATAACAAATATTTTAAGACTTGTCTATAGTACAAAAAAAAAAATTGTACCATACTTCTATTTATCACATTTGTAAATATCTTTACTACTGTAATTAGTATTTTTACCATTTGTTGTGGTATACAAAAAAGTGATAAAAATAATTATTACAACAGTGATAAAAATACTCACAACAGTGATAATAATACTCACAACAGTAATAAAAATATCTACAAATGTGGTAAATCACTCACAAAAATCGTATTTTTTTTTCTACCGAAGAAAAGTGATAAAATACTTATCATAATAGTGATAAAAATACCCACAAAAATGATAAATCACTTATAAAAGTAATAAATTTTTTGGTTGTAAAATGACCAATAAATTTTTTAAAAAATCCATTAAAATAGTAAAAAATAATAATCTATCTATATCTATACTATCTCTAAATGTCAACAAAAATGAAAAAAATATTTGTTAGACCAAATTAACCTGAACAAACTAACTAATGTTTATCATACCTTTTGTAATTGATAATATTATTATATTATAATAATTGTCACAATTATTTTATTGTTGGCTACTATTTAAGTTTTACATAAACAATCTTGACTGTTGGGTTACTAGGATTTTAATATCATAATGAATAATTATAATATAAGTTTTTTCCATGTATTTACTTTTAAAACCTACCATCATTGATATTTTGTTTTCTCTTCCACATGTGTCTCTCTTTATGTATTTTCATTTTGTATCAATTCATTAACCAAACTCCCAAAGGAAGATGAAAGTAATCTAGGGTAAAAGAATCAGCATTGATTGTTTTAGCTTTCTACCATCCTCATCTTCGTCCTGGTTGAGATAATTATTTTTTTTATAGTAGTATAGATATATTCTTTTTTCTTTTTTGGTACATAAGACAGGATCACCATATCAACGACTCACATCCTTGAAAATAATTTCCCTCTATTCCAATATACTTAGATTGGAGTGTCTTGAAACTGACTTTAAGTGCATATATGAATACGTGAATATATGTTTCTTGTGGGTTCCATGTGAAATCTTAAAAGATTTGTTTCATTTTTACCCGTGTAAGAGGCGTGGACACTCTTATTGAGATTTCTTGTTTTCATACATATCAAAACATATATTTATATATGATATTAGTAGCTTCATTTTATTACGTACCAAAGGTTATATTTTATACTTGTAATTCTATATCTTAATTCATAGAAATATATTTGATAACATAGTTATTATATAATTTCAGCAAAATTAAAAATATAAAAATAAAATTATAATTTAAAATACCTCATATGCAACAACTGATAAATTTTAAAAATACGGTATCAATTTTTTTTTATCAATACCATAATCAAGTCCAAAATTTTAACTTAGTGACGTAACAACTGTCATAATTCAATACCTGCAAATGTCAAATTTGTTAATTCTAAAGTTTTTTGATTTTCCAGCATGTACTTCAAAGGGTGGTGGTCAAATCACATTGGAACAAAAAAATTAAAAATAAAAAATCACAAATCACAAATCACATTAGAATTGCGAAAGAAACTAGTCTATTAGGCCAATCATAATCTCCTAGAAACCTTTTTCAAAAAGGATTTTTTGAAAATTGGTACACTTAATTAGATTTATTTGGTAAAAAATATATATATTAAAAAATATTTTAAAATAAATACAAAAATATAAATACACATTTCAAGAAAAGTGGTACATTAAATATCTCCTAATTTTATAGGAGAATTTTAGTATTTAATGCACCTTCATTCATGTGTATTTGTTAATATATATATATATATATATGTGTGTGTGTGTGTGTGTGTGTGTCTATATTTATATAATTGTATAAATATAAATATATAAATATTCAAATTGTGTATTTAGATACAAATAAATATCAAAATTAAGGACTTAATAACCTTATATTTTTTAGTGCATATTTTTTATCAAATAAATCTAATTTAAGTGTACCCGTTTAACCTTTTCAAAATTCACCAAACCATGCATTGACTAACTTACGCCATACATTTTCCACAAAAACCCAAAAAAAAAAAGGGCCCCCAGTTCTTTGTATATCAGATCCACCGTGACGGTGTTGCCACTTGCTAGTCTCCATGCAAATCAAAGAAAAAGAGTCCCATGCAAATCAACGCAGTCAATGATTCAACCACATCCCCATCCTTCTCGAAGTTCGTATATGTTTACATGTGTTGTCCGTACCCAAAAATATTTGCTACCGTATTATTTATTATTTTTTAAAATATTAATATTATTTTTTGAGTAAAATTTGATGAGTTTAGATTCGTATCAAATTTAGATTCAGTTAATGAGTTAAGCTCAAATGCTTAATTTATGACCTCAATTTAATTCAAAATTCAAGAGTTCAGAGAAAGTCAACGAACATGAAAGAATAATCATCAAGATTGTCATTATTCCAAAATAGTGTCTATTCCCAACCGTAATTATTATTCCCAATAAATTAGTAGATTGATCTTCACACCATCACTACAGTTAGAGCTCTATGTCTATAGATTACAAACTCCATAGGACAGATCTCACACACCTCATATTGAGCGTACTCTTACTCTCTCTCTCTCTCTCCCTCTTACAACCTTATACTCTATCAAATAGAATTCTCTAGCCACCGTTA